AAGAAGCGCAAGGGCGAACCAACGGAGGTGGACTACTCGACGCTCGACATTGCGTGGGTCATTGCCAATGGTCTTGCCGACCTCCACCGCAATGGCTTTATGCACCGCGACCTCAAGAGTCTCAATGTGCTTTTGAGCTCTACCAACTACATCAAGGTGGCCGACTTTGGCCTCACGAAGGAGTTCCACCTCGACATGACGACGTTTGTGGGGACGCCGGCGTGGATCGCGCCCGAAGTCTTTGAGTCGGGAACTACGTACGACTTTGCGGCCGACATTTACTCATTTGGCGTCATTTTGACGGAGCTCGAGACGCTCCAAGTGCCGTATGCGGGCATGAACCTCTTTGCGATCATCGACGGCGTCCGCAGTGGCGAGTTGCGTCCGTCCGTGAGCGCTGACTGTGCGCCGTGGTACAAGGCGCTGGCTGACGACTGCTTGTCGTTTGATCCGAAGCAACGTCCAACAGCCCAGACGATCATCGACCGTTTGTTGCTGCAGGAAAAGGCTCTTGCTGGTCGAGAACCGGTCGCAGCGCCCGAGACCAAGACCGAGCGTCTGATGACGCCGCCGCAACTGACCAAGGGCATGAGCAGCAGCTCGTCCACCTCGGTACGAAGGGCCCAGTTTTGTCTTGAATGTGTGTCGAGTAAGTCTGTGGATCTAGTCGACGTCGTCGTCCTGGTCGTCGGGAGCTCTCACGAGTCGTCTGCCGTGCCGGATGTGCAAGACGCGCAACGCAGCGTTGAACCAACACTGCAGCTGCTGCAACGAGGCCATGCCAAACGAGTCGACCAAGCTCGCGCTCTTGCTCAAGCGCGCCAAGGTGGCCAACGCCAAGGGTTTCTCGATCAACCTGTGCATCGACTGCGACATTTGCGAGACGACCAACGTCATGACGGCGCCGACGTGCGCCGATCCCGAGTGCGGCGAGGAGCTTTTGGACGACGCTGAGAAGCTGCGTATCCTCTCCCGTCGCTTCGACATGGCAACGAGCGCGGCATAAGCTCCATCGTCCAGAGCGTCAATGTCAGCCCACGAACGCTGATCATAACTGCACCACACTTTGTCGCTGCCACGTAATTCCAAGGCTTTTAGCATCATCAATTTGACTTGATCTTACCAACTAAGGCAGTGTGTGCATGAATGCTGTGGAATCCTTGTCGAGAAATACGCAGCGCGCCACTGCTCGAGGAGCGTCGTCCTGGTCGCACACGGCGTCGCCAGCACATCGATAGGGGTCCCATTTCGGCCAAACGTCCGTGCTCCAAGATAAGGACGCGGTGCGACGTCAGGATTGAGCCGATGGGTCACTGTGAGCACCGTGCGCTCAGCACACTCGCCCGTCGCAAGCTCTAAATACGTATCTTGCGATTGAAGGACGTCGAGATGGCGACTGTGGTTGGTTCATACTGGTGCCGCCACAAAGGTGGTCCTGGCGAGGCTCAACTCTGCGGTGACCTAGATGTATGGTTGCGGGTTGCTTGTTTTTCCTGGTAAGAGTGGTCGTAACGTCGTCAGTATTGTCGTGTGTGTAGTACATCAGGTGTTGCTTCTACTTTTCGATTCGGGCCGTTTTGGCGAGGCGCTGGCGTCGGGCAGGCGGCGCTGTCGGTGGCGTCTCGTCGGCGCGCTGGTTCACGAACGCGCCAGCGCTCACAAGTTGTCGGGCGACATGCACGTGGCCGAAGCGCGTCGCGAAATCAAGAGCGGTCTCTCCATTCTACGTTGCACAATGCAGACAACAACACAAGAGGATGATGCGTACAAAGCTGGCGAGGTGGACGTTGGCCTTGTGCGCCAGGAGCGTCGACACTACCTGGGCATGTCCGTTCTGGGCAGCCAAAAGCAAGGGGGACGCCCCCGCCTACGACGTAATTACTCAGTGTAGGAAGAAATATGGGACGCCATAAGAAGGGCCGTCGCGCCATCCTCGAGCCAAAAATTAAGGATAAAATCGGGGACACGGAGAACGTACTTTGTCGGCTTGGTTCACGGCAGCATGTGCTGCAAGGAGCGATGCGACGACGGCACCGTGCCCGTTCTGAGACGCGATGAATAGGGCCGTCGGGCCATCCTGGTGTCAACATTAAAAAAAAAGCGGGCAGTCGATGGGAACATACGTCGTTGGCGTGGTTGACTGCGGCGTTGGCCGCAAGAAGCGCTGCGACCACTGCGTCATGACCATTTTGGGCCGCGAGAAAGAGGGGTGTCGTCCCATTCTAAGGTCATCATCGCAAAAATCATTTTGCACCGTACAGAAGTGTGAAATACCGAATTGGTTTGGTCCACAGCCGCGTTGGCGCCCAAGAGCGCCATCACAATGGGAAGGTGACCGATGTCCGAGGCGATGGCGAGTGGCGTCGCTCGGTCCTAAACATCGTTCTAGAGACAGGATCGCAACACTCGGAAACGTCGCACGAGTTCGTGGCCGGCTTGGTTGACGCACGCGTGCGCCTTCAAAAGCGCTGTGACCACCGAAGTTAGACCATATTTGACTGCAAAGAGCAGCGCCGTCTCGCCCTTCTACGCCATCGTTTTGAGAGCCTCACACGACGCTAGTAAAAGCGTACGCTCGTTGCGTGGTCGACAGAGGCATTGGCCGCGAGGAGGGCCTCAACGACCGCAAAATGACCATTTTTGACGGCGATCATCAGCGGCGTGAATCCGTTCTGCCACATTATTCCCACCTTGTTCAAGAAAAATGCACAACGACGACGATACCTCGATGGCGTGGTCGACGAACGCATTTGCTGCCAAAAGCGACGCGACTACATCGGCATGCCCGCACTGGGCTGCCAAAAACAAGCGGGTGGCCCCCGCCTATTGATGCAAAATGTGCGAAAACTCGAGAAACAAAAAACGTCGGACCGTCACTTGAGCGTCGACGGTGGCATTGGCCGCGACGAGCATGTCGACAATCGCTCGGTGACCATTGCACGCAGCAAACGCCAGTGCCGTCGACGTATCCTACACATAGTACAGTCAGTATGGCTGCTAAAAAGGGCGATGCAAACCGTCATGGCTTGGTTGACGTCCGCTTGAGCTGCGAGTAGCGTGCATACGACGGCATCGTGGCCGAGCGTCGCAGCCGGCATCAAAGTGGTTTCGCCCTCCTACGCCATGATCGAAAACACCGTTGGGTGCAAGACGACATACATGCGTGGTATGGTTCACGGCGGCGTTGGCAGCCAATAGCGCGCAAACGACTGCATCGTGCCCATTCTGGCTCGCCCCAAAGAGCGCAGTGGAGCCAGCCAACGCCTGAGCATGGCACGGTGAGTACGCAGCGTGTGCGCATCTGCGTACCGCGCACGTCCAGTCGGCGGCGACACCGTCGTCCAACAACCTCGTGACGTCGTCGAGGCGGCCTTCAAGCGCCGCGAAAAAGAGTTGCCCGCCCTAGGTCTGCGTGTCGCCACGGGCGTGCATCATCTCGGTACCTTCGAGTTCATCCAGTGTATTGGTCCACTGCGATCAACTTGCAGATGACCAGCCGGAGTGTCCGAAACCTCCTGCAATGCATATGATATCGAATCTCGCAGGTCGCCAGCCACCAAAGATCGTGGAAGATCGCAACGGTCGAGGCGAAGCGACGATGGAGTCCAAGCCGCTGCTGCATGGCGGGCGTCGCCCCAGCGCGTCGAGGCCGCCCATAGCCGGCGGCAGCCGCCATGCGCTATGGGTGTCGTGGCTCACGCCATTGCTCTACCTCGGCCAGGCGCGCCCGCTCGAGATGGACGACCTCTGCTCGCTGGACCCGGCCAGCCGCGCCCACGTTATCGCGCTCCACTTCAAGCAGCAGTGGGGCCCCGAGAAGCGTCGCGTCCAGCCGCGCGTCTGGCTCTGCCTCCTCAAGGCGTTTGGTCGACCCTTCTTCCTCGCTGGCTGCATGAAGCTGCTCGCCGACGTGCTCCAGTTCGTCACACCCATGGTCTTGGCCGCGCTGCTGCACTTTATGGCGTCGGACGTGCCAATGGCACAAGGCTACATGTACGTGAGTATCCTCTTTGGCGTTAGCCTCGCGCAGTCGGCATTTCTGCGCCAGTACTTTTGCTACTGCGCCGACGTTGGCCTGTACGTCAAGAGTGCGCTCGTGGCAATGACGTACGACAAGGCGCTGCACCTCGCGCTCTCGGTGCGGCAGCAGACGTCGTCTGCTTCGATCGTGGGCCTCGTCACGACCGACGTCCAAAAGCTCCGCGATGCGTCGCCGTATCTCCACGCGCTGTGGTACGCGACGCTGCAGGTTGATACTCTTTTGACAGATTGAAACTTTTCTTACGATATATGTAGATCTGCATGGCCACGTACTTGCTCTACTCGTTTGTTGGCGTCGCTACCTTTGTGGGCATTGCTGTTGCTGTCATTATGACGCCGCTCAGCTCCTGCCTCGCGACCAAAGCCACGGCCGCGCACGCCCAGCTGCACACGCTTGCATCGTCGCGCCAGCACACATGCGACGAGACACTGCGCGGTCTCAAGGTCCATTAACCCGCTTGTTGGAAGCTATTGTCATGCGATCTCTAGATGGTCAAGATGCAGACGTGGGAAGAGCACTGCCTCGCGCGCCTGTCGACCTTGCGCGACGCCGAGCTCAAGCAACTGACGCTCGTCGCCCGGCTCCGCAGTCTTTCGACCACGCTATTTGACGCGACGCCGCTTCTCATGGCAATGGCCGTGATGGGGAGCCACGTCTATCTCACGGGCGCAGCGCTGAACTTGGCGACCGTCCTTCCGAGCTTGCTGCTTCTCCAGATGCTCCGGACACCGATCGCGCTCTTGCCGCAGGTGTTCTCGACGCTCTCAGAAGCGTCGGCGAGCTTGGATCGCATCACAGCCTTTCTTGTTGAGGTCGACCAACGACGGCTCACGGTCGGAACGCTCAGTGCGATTGGAGTGCGCTTTGAAGACGCCGACTTGAGCTGGCAGCTGCCATCGATAGACGCGGCCGAAGCCTCGTTCTCGTCAGCATCGAATGGCCTCTGGCAGATGCGGGGCATCGACCTCTACGTCCGCGCCGGCGAGCTCTGCGCGATTCTTGGCCCGCACAACAGTGGCAAGTCGACGCTGCTCAACGCGCTCCTCAACGAGGTCCACTGCACGTCGGGCCGCGTCATGGCCCGCGGCGCCTTTGCGTACGTCGCGCAAAAGCCATTCTTGCGCCACACAAGCATCAAGGAGAACGTGTTGTTTGGCAAGCCGTGGGAGGCGTCCTGGTACGCGTGCGTCATGGACGTTACGGGTCTGACGTCGCTCGTGCTCGACAACAGCGCGCTCTTCCCCGACCACGACGAGACCAACATGGACAGCGTTCCGGCTTCGGTGGACCCGAGTCTGCACGTGCGCATCGCGCTGGCTCGTGCGGTCTACCAAAATGCGGACGTCTACCTACTAGATGACATTTTTGCGTCCATGGCCTCTGCGACACGCGACCATATCTTTGGTCGCTGCCTCCGCGGTCTTCTCCGGCGCAAGTGCATCCTCTGGGTCACGAATGCCTTGGCGTTTGTCCCACTCTGCGACTCGGTCGTGCTGCTCGAGGATGGTGTCGTCGTTGAGCAAGGCTCGATCACAACCGTGCTCTGTGACGACGGACCGATCCACGACCTACTGCAGTCGCACACGCTACTCGACGATGCAGCAGTGAGACTTGAACCCGCGCCAACAGGACAAGATTTCGTGTCGCCCGACCCAACGCCGCTGTTGCCGACGCTCACGGACGCTGTCGCAAGCCTCAAAGAGCACTCGGGCGTCTACAAGCGGTACCTACGAGCATGTGGCGGCTATGGCCTCGCCGCCACATCGTTCGTTTGGTATCTGAGTGCCCAGGCCACCACGGTTCTTGCGACATCGTACCTCGGCTTTGACGAGTCGCTCCTCGGTCTCTACGTCTTTGCTACGGGACATGCGCTGTATATTGGTCTGCTCTACATGCGGTCGGCCATCTCGTACCGTCGAGGTCGCGTCGGCAGCCAGCGCCTCTTTCACACTTCGCTGTGGCACCTTCTCCGCGCTCCGCTCAGCTTTTTCGAGCCATCACCCGTCTCGGCGCTGCTCGCAACGCTGGCGTCCGACATCGCCGTCGTCGACCTCGAGGTGCCGTCGACCATGCACATGCTACTGCACACGCTTTTGCTTATCGGGACAACCGTTGGTCTTGTCATGCTCGTGACGCCGTGGTTCGCACTGGCCGTCCTTCCAGCAATGGCGGCGCTCTACGCACTGCAGCGAGCGTACGTGCCGTCGGCCAACGCCCTCCAACGACTCGAAGCGGCCACGCGGGAGGCGATGACGGCGTACGTCCGCGAGTGCCTTCTCGGTCTTCGGTCGCTTCACGCCTACCGCATCGAGGGCCACTGCAGCGCCAACTACTACGCGCTCCTTGATGCGCATCAGCGCGTGCACGTGGTGGTGACGGCGACCAACCACTGGCTCGCAGTCCGGGTCGAGTGGCTTGGCGCGACGCTGAGTGCCTTGGCTGCTGCCCTTGTCGTCAACTCGAAAGCCTCCGGCATGGCGCCCTTGCCGCTAGTGGCGATGGCTCTCTACTACGCTCTGCAGCTGACACCGACGCTTCACTGGGCACTGCGCGTCCTAGCTCAAGTGCAAGGCTCCCATGCTGCGCTGCAGCGACTCGAGAGCTATGACAACCTCCCGATGGAGGCGCCGCTGACAAGCGACCTCTCGCTTCGTGGCCTCGAGAGTGAGAAGCGCGGTCGCCTGACGTTTGAGAATGTTGAAGTGCGCTACCAGCCACACGAGGCGCCGGCGCTGACCCACCTCTCGTTCGACGTCGTCGCCCACGAGAAGATCGCCGTGGTGGGCGCATCGGGGTCGGGCAAAAGCAGCCTTGTGATGGCGCTGATGCGTCTGCTTGAGCTCGACGCTGGCGTCATTCGCATCGATGGTGTCGACATTGCATCGATGGGGCTTCACGATGCCCGGCGCCAAGTCGCGTACATTCCCCAAGACCCGATTCTCTTTTCAGGTACCACCACGGATCTCCTATGGTGTCTCTGATACGTTGATACATTGATACTAGGCACGGTGCGCAGCAACTTGGATCCATTTGGCATCTTTGGCGATGACCGCCTTTGGGCGGCACTGCGCCGCGCCCAGCTCGTGAGTATGGTTTCGTCACTGGATGAGCCGGTGACGACGCGCGGCCGCAACTTTACCGTCATCGAGCGACAGCTGCTCTGCTGCGCGCGCATTTGGCTCAAGAACGCGTCGATCGTGTGTCTGGACGAGCCCGCGGCGGTCTCGTGGGCGACGCCAAAGGACTATGCGCTCCAAGAGGTACGTCATTTGTGTCGCGAGATACCTATCGAGAGCTTGCGACAGGCGGTGCGGGCCGAGTGTGCTGAGCGCACGGTGCTCACAGTGACGCATCGGCTCAACACGATCCTGACGTCGGACCGCGTCCTCATCTTGGAGCACGGACGCGTGGCAGCGTTGGGAACGCC